GGAGAGAGCAACACAGGACCTCAGTCTGATGTTCATCTCCAAATAAAAGGACACGGACTCAGACGACAGACATAGTTTTTGTGTAGGTTTGCATTTGATGAGGGGCCGACTTCACCCAGGTCCTGGTCTGGACCTGAGCCGGAGGAACTGACCTGCTGTTCTTGATTTGGGTTGATGAAAGAAAACACAGGGAGAACACGCAAAACTCCTCACAGTACGGAACGGAGATTGTACTTTTTAAACATTCGTTAGTTATCCCAGATGACACTGTTTTCTGCTCTGGATTGAACCAGGACTAAACCAATTTTCCTCAAACATGTGAATGAAACAAAACAAACTCCAGAATCCGTGTATCGTTCGTTCATTTGTTTTTCAAAATAAAATCAAAAGTCAGAAAACGAAAAAACAGTTTTCTTCATTATTTGTCTCCAAAACCAAAATAAAAAAACAGATAATGATTCGTTTTTTCAGTTTTTGATTTTGTGTTTAAATGAAAAATGGAGAAAAAAAACAGATAACGACCGTTTCCTGTTTACGTGACTCTGTGACTGCGATGCTGGACTTTTGCGCCACATACGGACTGAACCAGGTCCGGGACCAGACCGGGACCAGACTGAGACCAGAGCAGGACTGAGACTGAGACCAGACCGGGACCAGACCGAGACCAGACCAAGACCAGACCAGGACCACACCAGGACTGAGATCAGGACTGAGACCAGACCGGGACCAGACTGAGACTGAGCAGACTGAGACAGACTGAGACCAGGACCAGAGGACTGAGATCAGACGAGACCAGACGGACCAGACTGGACCAGACAGGACTGAGACTGAGACCGGGACCAGACCGGGACCAGAGCAGGACCGGACCGGGACCAGACCGGGACTGAGACCAGGACTAGACCAAGACTAGATTGGGACCAGGTCGTTATCCATTTTTTCCATTTTTCATTTAAACACAAAATCGAAAACTGAAAAAACAAATCATTATCTGTTTTTTCATTTTGGTTTTGGAGACAAATAATGAAGAAAATTGTTGTTTTTTTGTTTTCTTTTTTTGGTTTTATTTTGAAAAACAAATGAACAAATGATACACGGATTATTCTCCAGGTCTGTTCTCGAGGAGGAAACAGCAGAACACGACTTAAACCTCACAGGAGTCAGTTCTGTTTGATCCTGGACGTTTAATCCCTCAGATATCGGTCCGTGCGCCGACCTGCCGATATATCGAGCGGCCCACGTGTGGGAACGAGACTCTGAGACTTTGTTCTTTGTTCTGCGCAGCTCCAGCTCAGCCTGGACTCTGCTCCGTCTGAGTCACAGAGGCTGTAAACTCTGATCTGTCAACACAAACACACGTCCCACTCTCCGCTCGCTCCGGCCGCACAAACTCAGGCTTTTAACAAGAAAAATGTCACGAATACAACGATACGATTTTCCCACAATTCAATACGTGTCTCGATACACGGGTAGGCCTGTAACGATAACAAATTTTGCAGGACGATTAATTGACCAAGAATTTATTGCGATAAGCGATAATATTGACATTTTGAGACCAATTTCAACTAATATAATGAACATGGAATAAAAATGCAAATACATCTTCTCAAAGATCAATAAACTTTTACTTTCTAAAGAACATTTAACACAGGAACTGCAAGACAAACAAAAACAACAGGCCTAAATAAAACAGACTTGTTAACCCAGGACTAGTCTAAAATCCGTGCATCATTCGTTTATTCGTTTTTCAAAATAAAACCAAAAATAAGAAAACTAAAAACCAACAGTTTTCTTCATTATTTGTCTCCAAAACCAAAATGAAAAAACGGATAATGATTTGTTTTTTCAGTTTTCGATTTTGTGTTTACATGAAAATGTTTACGTGACTTCTGTGACTGCGATGCCGGACTGAACCAGGACTGATCCAGGTCCAGGACCAGACCGGGACCAGAGCAGGACCAGACCAAGACTCCGAGCTTTAACTCCGAGCCTCTGCAGGGTCCGAGCCTCAGCTTCAAGCTCTGGCCCTGCCGTGGGCTCTGAGCCTCCGGTCTGGTCCCGGCCTTGTCCTGGTCTGGTCTTAATCTGGTCCCGGTCTGGTCTCGGTCTGATCTGTCTCAGTCCCGGTCTGGTCCTGGACCTGGACGCCGTTTCCCGTCTATGTGACTTCCGTGTCAGCGAAGCCGGACTTTTACACTGCATACGGACTGAACCAGGACTGATCCAGGTCCTGGACCAGAGCGGGACCAGAGCGGGACTGAGACCAACTCCAGTGGTCCGAGTGGTTCTGTGTCATCGTCTGTGCGCTGGTCCCGTGCGGTGAAAGTGAGAATGTTCTGTGGACTACAGGTCCGGACGGGCTGATCCGGTTCCTCCGCGCTCAAGAACCGCGGCTGGTTCCGAGGTGGTGCAGCGTCCGGACAGAAGCGTGAGTCCAGTTTGGTCCCGGCCTGGTCTCTGTCTCAGTTCCGGTCTCAGTCCCGCTCTGGTCCCGGTCTGGTCCCGGACCTGGATCAGTCCTGGTTCAGTCCGACATCGCAGTCACATAAACGGGAAACGGCTGTTATCAGTTTTTTCCGTTCTTCATTTAAACACAAAATCGAAAACTGAAAAAACAAATCATTATCTGTTTTTTCATTTTGGTTTTGGAGACAAATAATGAAGAAAACTGCTGTTTTTTCGTTTTCTTATTTTTGGTTTTATTTTGAAAAAAAAAATGAACGAATGACACACAGATTATTTCTCTATGAGGGAGCCTCTCTTCTGTCTGGTGTCGTGTCGGTTCGGTTTCGGGATTTCTGGTTCTCCCGGGCGCTTGGTTAGTTCTGTCGCTCGGGTTTGGGTTTATGTCGGCTGTTGGGGTTTGGGACATTTCTTCTCGTCGTTTGCGTTTCGCTGCATTTGACGCACGAGGCTGTTGAGACGTGTCCCGCTCACCAGTGCTGATTCGACATCGTGACTTGTTTTGGCGCTCGGCGATGAACAGTTTTGTTACTCGATTCGATTTCGATATGTTTTAAGACACAAGAAAAAGATTCTCACATATTTTTTTTTATTCATGTACAGCTGGAGTTTCTGTGTGAAGTGTTTTAGTTCATTTGGTTTGATGAGTCACAGAATTTTTATGAAATGAAAATAAGACCAGAGTTTCTCAGAGTGTTTTATATTTTATACTAAACCAGTCGACTCTTCACTAGGGCTGGGCATTCGATTATTACATTTTCTTAAGAGAATTAACAATCGATATCGAATATCGTTGCGTTGCTTCTTATCATATGTGTTTCATTTCATATTTAAAGCTGCTCTGTGTAACTTTTCTGGTAGAGGGTCCTGGTTTAGACCTGGTTTAGTCCTGGTTTATTCCTGGTTTAGTCCTGATTTAGTCCTGGTTTAGACCTGGTTTAGTCCTGGTTTAGACCTGGTTTAGTCCTGGTTTAGTCCTGGTTTAGACCTGGTTTAGACCTGGTTTAGTCCTGGTTTAGTCCTGGTTTAGACCTGGTTTAGACCTGGTTTAGTCCTGGTTTAGTCCTGGTTTAGTCCTGTTTAGACCTGGTTTAGACCTGGTTTAGACCTGGTTTAGTCCTGGTTTAGTCCTGATTTAGACCTGGTTTAGACCTGGTTTAGTCCTGGCTTATTCCTGGTTTAGTCCTGGTTTAGTCCTGGTTTAGTCCTGATTTAGACCTGGTTTAGACCTGGTTTAGTCCTGGTTTAGTCCTGATTTAGACCTGGTTTAGTCCTGGTTTAGATTTGGTTTAGTCCTGATTTAGACCTGGTTTAGTCCTGGTTTAGTCCTGGTTTAGATTTGGTTTAGTCCTGGTTTAGTCCTGGTGTGAGGACAGACTCAGAGCTCAAGACTCACCAGGACTAGACCAGGACCAGGACTAGACTCACATCTGGACTGAAACTCAATCAAAACATGTGAAAGTGAAAGAGCTTTTTAAAGAAACCTACATCCTGACAGCTGCAGCTCCAAAACTAAAACATGACAATATCAGAACCAGAAACAAAAGTGATGTGGTTCAAAAGACTTGAAAAGATCGAGTTTGACAACAGACACGTCCCACTGGGAAAACAAACATGGAGGTTTGACGCTCACTTTTTCGGAAAATCCTTCCCAGTGTGAATTGTACGACGACTGGAAGTCTGAGATTCGTGACACATGTTTTGTCCAGTTGTTCTTTTCATCAGTTGATTGACAGGACAAGGGCACTTCAGGGGCCGATCAGACTAGAGTTGGGGCCAGAGTCGCCTCTGTGACAAGGAGAAACATTAGTGGATCAGGATTTTGGAGATTTACAGAAATGTACACGACACCTGAAACTACGATGTGTTTATTAACGCTCTGCTCCTCTGTCTCCTGTGTGTGTGTGTCTGTGTATGTGTCTATGTGTTTGTGTGTGTCTATGTCTATGTCTGTGTGTCTGTGTGTGTGTGTCTGTGTGTGTGTGTGTGTGTGTGTGTGTGTCTATGTGTGTGTGTGTGTCTGTGTGTGTGTGTGTGTGTGTGTGTGTGTGTGTGTCTGTGTGTGTGTGTGTGTGTGTGTGTGTGTGTGTGTCTGTGTGTGTGTGTGTCTGTGTGTGTGTGTGTGTGTGTGTGTGTGTGTGTGTGTGTGTGTGTGTCTGTGTGTGTGTGTGTGTCTGTGTGTGTGTATGTGTGTGTGTGTGTGTGTGTCTGTGTGTGTGTGTGTGTGTGTGTGTGTGTGTGTGTGTGTGTGTCTGTGTGTGTGTGTGTGTGTGTGTCTGTGTGTGTCTGTGTGTGTGTGTGTGTGTGTCTGTGTGTGTCTGTGTGTGTGTGTGTGTGTGTGTGTGTCTGTGTGTGTGTGTGTGTGTGTCTGTGTGTGTCTGTGTGTGTGTCTGTGTGTGTGTGTGTGTGTGTGTGTGTGTGTGTGTGTGTGTGTGTCTGTGTGTGTGTGTGTGTGTGTGTGTGTGTGTGTGTGTGTGTGTGTGTGTGTGTGTCTGTGTGTGTGTGTGTGTGTGTGTGTGTGTGTGTGTGTGTGTGTGCAGCTCTGTGTCGGTATCTGGAGTCGGAGCGAAGCGGCGAGTCCTGCCCCGAAAACCACACAGGTAAAACTTCTCGATTCTACTTCATTTTTTTCCAGCTCTGGACGGGGCCAAACACACTTCAGCGGCCAAATGTGTCTCCAGAAACGATGCAAATTCACAAACTCAGACACGAGTTTAAACGAGGCACAAACGGAAAAAAAAAAAAACGAGTTGTGAGAAACAAAGACGAATGTGTCGTCATCAAACGCGACGCAAATAGAGAAACGACGCCAAGAACAAAACGATGAAAACCAAGAAAAAACGAAAAACCGTCTGCAGCTCTACTGTGTTCATATTTTGAGCGAACGTGAACTGAACTCTCTGTACTTCTGCCCGACGAACGAACTGTGAGCCAGTTTATTCTGGACTCTGAACGGCAGTGAGTCAGTTTGGCGCCACCTAGTGTCTCTGCTCAGTTTCATTTCTCTCCAGCGACTAGATCAGGAATCAGAATAAACTAGACCAGGAGAGTCAAACTCATTTTGGTCCGGGGGTCGTGTCCAACCGACTTTGATCCAAAGTGTCTGGATCAGAAAACTCATGTCATATAAACCCCAAAAATAACAATAAGTTCAAATATTTGTGCAGAGAAACACAAATCTATTACAGAAATCTTTTTGAATTGATGAACTCTTTCTTATTATAATATTATAATATTATGAACAACCTGAAACTTCAAGAAAAATACAATTTCAACACAATGTTTTAACATGAACTTGTCTGTAAATAGGAATAAGTCCATTTTTGTTGTAAAATCCTGCACTCGGCTCCACTTTTCTCATGTTGGACATTTTTCTGATGAGTGTGTCACGGTCAACAGTCAAAACGATCGTCCTTTAAGAGCGTTTGGAAAGAGACAAGTCTTCATTTGTGCTGCTCTGGTGGGAGGGGCCACGTACAGAGACGCTGGAGACGCTGCTGTGATAAACACCACAGAAAATTAACAAGATTTTAATAGAAAATATCATTAAAATATTTTTGTAGAAAATCAGCCGAGGGCCACATTAAAGGTCTTGGAGGGCCGGATCTGGCCCCCGGGCCGAATGTTTAACACCTGTGAACTAGACGATTTATAAAAACCCCAGAAGTGTGAGTTCAGGTAAAGTTGAGTCAAAATTAAAAAACTGGGACTAAGTTGTGGGACAAACAAAATATTTATTGGAGAATTTTCACCAACATCTGCATGTTTTCTCTTCTTTCTAGATCTGTAATGTTAAATCTTTTCTTATTTAAATTCAAGTTTAATCATAATTTTGCTTAAACATTGAATCCAGAATAAACAGAATATAAAATAATAACAACATTTTACATAAATCGTGTCTCTGTAGTCGATCTGTGTGCGGCTGCAGATTTGATACAGATTTGATTTGATCTCATGGGACAAATATAATTATATCATGGGCCAAATTTGGTCCCCGGGCCTGAGTTTGATGTGTACGAAATCAAAAGAAACAAGACACAAATCCTCCACACAAATAACCACAAGGACGGAGAGAAACGAAGAGAGAGAAAGAGAAAGAGAGAGAGAGAGAGAGAGAGGAAGAGCTGAAGCGATGTGACGAGTTTGACAGATCCTCAAGAATCATCACAATAATGAACAGAAGAAAGAGAGGAGAAGAGAGAAAGAAGAGAGAGGAGGAGGAGAGGAGAGACGGAGGAGAGATAGAAGAGAGAAAGGAGAGACAGAGGAGGAGAAGAGAGGGAGGAGAGACAGAGGAGAGGGAGGAGAGAGGGAGAAGAAAGGGAGCAGAGAGGGAGGAGGGAGGAGAGACAGAAGAGAGGAAGGAAAGTTAGAGGAGGAGAAGAGAGGAGAGAGAGACAGAAGAGAGGGAGGAGAGACAGAAGAGAGGGAGGAGAGACAGAAGAGAGGGAGGAGAGAGAGAGGGAGGAGGAGAAGAGAGGGAGGTGAGACAGAGGAGAAGAGGGAGGAGAAGAGACGGAGGAGAAGAGGGAAGAGAGAGAGGAGAAGAGAGGGAGGAGAAGAGAGAGAGGAGAGAGGGAGGAGAGAAGAGAGAGGAGAGAGAGGAGAAGAAGAGAGGGAGAGGAGAGAGACAGAAGAGAAGGATAGAGAGAGGGAGAGGACAGAGTTGAAGCGATGTGAGCAGTTCTCCGCTGTGGGTCGGACAGATCTTTATGAAATCATCACAATAATGACCGTGAGAGACAGAAGAGAGGGAGGAGAGACGGAAGAGAGGGAAGAAGAGAGGGAGAGAAGAGATAGAAGCGAGGGGGAAAGAGAGAGGAAGGAAGGAGATAGCAGAGAGGGGGGAAAGGAGGCATGGAGAGAGAGGAGAGAGAGTTGAAGTGAAGAGCTCTCAGCTTTAGGTCAGAGGTCCTCAAGTGACAAAAATGACCACGAGACGAGAAGACGAGAAGAGAGGGAGGAGAGGAGAGATGGAGAAGAGGGAGAGAAAGAGAGGAAGGAAGGAAGAGAGAGGGAAGAGAGTTGAAGTGATGTAAAAAATCTCTCAGCTGTGGGTTAAAAGTCAACAATAATAAAACCAAAAGTGTGTTTTTCCTTCTGCGTTCAGCGCGTCCTCACAACTCACCACCGTCACTTTACACTAACTAATGGCATGCTAACGTGCACTACCTGAATTTCTTGGTTTTTGTGTTTTGTGTTCTGTGTCAGAGCCGGGTCTGGAGCACACGACGTTCCGCTCCAAAGTTCTGGCTCGATTCCCGGAGAATGTGGACGGAAATCCCTTCGACCAGGACGCCGTCAGTATGGTGAGAGTCCTGGTTTAGTTTCTGGTTTAGTCCTGGTTTTAACCTTGGTCTAATACTGGTTTAGACCTGGTTCAGTCCTGGTTTAGACCTGGTTTAGACCTGGTTTAGACCTGGTTTTAGACCTGGTTTAGACCTGGTTTAATCCTGGTTTAGTCCTGGTTTAGATCTAGTTTAGACCTGATTTAGATCTAGTTTAGTCCTGGTTTAATCCCTGGTTTAGATCTAGTTTAGACCTGGTTCAGTCCTGGTTCAGTCCTGGTTTAGTCCTGGTTTAGTCCTGGCTTAGTCCCTGGTTTAGTCCTGGTTTAGTCCCTGGTTTAGTCCCTGGTTTAGTCCCTGGTTTAGTCCTGGTTTAGTCCTGGCTTAGTCCCTGGTTTAGACCTGGTTTAGACCTGGTTTAGACCTGGTTTAGTCCCTGGTTTAGATCTAGTTTAGACCTGGTTTAGTCCCTGGTTTAGACCTGGTTTAGTCCTGGTTTAGTCCTGGTTTTAGTCCCTGGTTTAGTCCCTGTTTAGTCCCTGGTTTAGTCCTGGTTTAGTCCTGGTTTAGTCCCTGGTTTAGTCCTGGTTTAGTCCCTGGTTTAGTCCTGGTTTAGTCCCTGGTTTAGACCTGGTTTAGACCTGGTTTAGTCCTGGTTTAGTCCCTGGTTTAGTCCCTGGTTTAGTCCCTGGTTTAGTCCTGGTTTAGTCCTGGTTTAGTCCCTGGTTTAGTCCCTGGTTTAGTCCCTGGTTTAGTCCTGGTTTAGTCCTGGTTTAGTCCCTGGTTTAGTCCTGGTTTAGTCCTAGTTTAGTCCCTGGTTTAGTCCTGGTTTAGTCCTGGTTTAGTCCCTGGTTTAGTCCTGGTTTAGTCCTGGTTTAGTCCTGGTTTAGTCCTGGTTTAGTCCTGGTTTAGTCCCTGGTTTAGACCTGGTTTAGACCTGGTTTAGACCTGGTTTAGTCCCTGGTTTAGTCCCTGGTTTAGTCCCTGGTTTAGTCCTGGTTTAGTCCTGGCTTAGTCCCTGGTTTAGTCCTGGTTTAGTCCCTGGTTTAGTCCTGGTTTAGTCCCTGGTTTAGTCCTGGTTTAGTCCTGGTTTCGTCTTGTTTTTTCCACCTGCTCGAGTTTGTCATAAATATTTAATTTCTAGTCTCTCCTTTCGTTGCCGTGGAAACCTGACGCTGTGAGATCACGTTTAGACTAAGTCCAGATCGAGACACAGACACACAGACACAGACACAGAGACACAGACACAGACACACACAGAGACACAGACACAGACACACAGAGACACAGAGACACAGACACAGAAAGACACAGACACAGACAGACACACAGAGACACAGAGACACAGACACAGAGACACAGAGACACAGACACAGAGACACAGACACACAGACACAGACACACAGAGACACAGACACAGAAAGACACAGACACAGAGAGACACAGACACAGACAGACACAGACACAGACAGAGACACAGACACAGAAAGACACAGACACACAGACACAGAGACACAGACACAGAAAGACAGAGACACAGACACAGAAAGACACAGAGACACAGAAAGACACAGACACAGAGACACAGACACAGAAAGACACAGACACAGAAAGACACAGACACAGAGACACAGACACAGACACACAGACACAGAGAGACACAGACACAGAAAGACACAGACACAGAAAGACACAGAGACACACAGACACACACAGACACAGAAAGACACAGAGACACAGAGACACAGACACAGAAAGACACAGACACAGAAAGACACAGACACAGACAGAGACACAGACACAGAGACACAGACACAGACACAGAAAGACACAGACACAGAGAGACACAGAAAGACACAGAGACACAGACAAGACACACAGACACACAGACACAGAGACAAGACACACAGACACAGACAGACACAGACACAGACACAGACACAGACACAGAACACAGAAAGACACACAGACACAGACACAGAAAGACACACAGACACAGAAAGACACACACACAGACACAGACACAGACAAGACACACAGACACAGACACAGACAAGACACAGACACAGAAAGACACAGACACAGACAGAGACACAGACACAGAGACACAGACACACAGACTGAAGTCCAGACTTTGTCCATCCATCCAGTGACTTCAGGAAAGTTTCATCCTCCTGGTGTCACGTTTCTCTCTCACTCCAAACTTTCTTTCTGCTGCTCGATTTCCGTTTTCAGCTGCAGATTTCACGACTTGCAGTTTGTAAATCTGCAGAACCTGATTTAGTTTTCGGGGGCGTTTGTGTTCAGTCGTCTCAGTCTTTGTCTTTATAAGTTTGTTTAAATGTTAAATTGTTCAGTGGTGCAGAAGTAACGGTGCGAACGACTGACATGATCCAGACAGGACAGAGGCTCTTTCTGCAGGAGACATGCGCAGTAGAGCCAAGTGACAGTGGTACAGGAGGAACAGGAGACTACAGCGCCCTCTTGTGGCTCTCAGTCTGAACATTTTAATCTATAAGTCGCAGGAAACACCCAAACCATGAAAAAAGTGCCACGTATAGTCCGAAAAATACAGTATGTTTACATGTCTGTGTGTGTTTTGTGTGAAGGAGTGTGAATTTTATTTTTTTATTTTTTATTAGTATTTCTGGTCCTGTAGTTTTTAATTACAGCCACATGACACGACTCCAGCAGAAGATTGTGAAATAACAGATTGTGGTGAAAAAAAGGGAGTTTTAAACGCAAAATTATGACAAATGGACTAAAACTTGCCCTTAGGTCTTAATAATAAAGCGTTTGTCAGACAGTAACCCAGCTCCAGGTGTTTCTGAGGAGGAACATTAGAACATTAAACCTCACTGGACTCTGAACAATACAGATTTAATCAGATCCTGCAGTTTGGCCTCGGGGTCATAAACCAGTTCTTCTCATTCTCTGTAGTTTGAACACGTCTGAGTGGGAAAAGTTCCCACAGTCACACCTGAACCTGAACGCGTCACCTGAGCCTTAAAGCCGCACTGTGGAACTTCTGTGGAGGTGGAGGGTCCAACAAACGCTTTTCTCCACGGAGATGTTGTTGCTTTGTCTGGAATGTTCCACAGTATGACATTAAACCTTTCTATCTTCATGGAGACCAAACCACACCGAGTTCCAGGTCAGATCTGTGGAGAAGAGTTACAGCCGAGAGGTCCCGGGTTCGACTCCCGGTCGAGCCCCCAATTCGTTCATTCGTTTTTCAATATAAAACCAAAAATAAGAAAATGAAAAAACAACAGTTTTCTTCATTATTTTTCTCCAAAACCAAAATGAAAAAACTGATATTGATTTGTTTTTTCAGTTTTTGATTTTGTGTTTAAATGAAAAATGGAAAAAAACGGATAACGGGTTCACGTTTACGTGACTTCAGTGACTGCGATGCCGTTTGCACTGCATACGGACTGAACCGGGACTGAGACCGGGACTCAGACCGGGACTGAGACCGGGACTCACACGGGACTCACACTGGGACTGAGAGTGGGACTGAAACCGGGACCAGAGCGGGACTGAGACTGGGACCAGACTGGGACCAGACCGGGACCAGACCGGGACCAGAGTAGGACTGAAACCGGGACCAGAGCGGGACTCAGACCAGGACCAGAGTGGGACCAGAGCAGGACCAGACCAGGACTGAGACCAGGACCAGACCAGGACTAGACCGGGACCAGACCAGGACCAGAGTGGGACTGAGACCGGGACCAGAGCAGGACCAGACCGGGACTGAGACCAGGACCAGACCAGGACTAGACCGGGACCAGACCAGGACCAGAGTGGGACTGAGACCGGGACCAGACCAGGACCAGAGCGGGACTGAGACCGGGACTGAGACCGGGACCAGAGCAGGACTGAGACCAGGACCAGACCAGGACTAGACCGGGACCAGACCAGGACCAGAGTGGGACTGAGACCGGGACCAGAGCAGGACCAGACCGGGACTGAGACCAGGACCAGACCAGGACTAGACCGGGACCAGACCAGGACCAGAGTGGGACTGAGACCAGGACCAAACCAGGACCAGAGCGGGACTGAGACCGGGACTGAGACGGGACCAGAGCAGGACTGAGACCGGGACCAGACCAGACCAGAGTGGACCAGAGGGACTGAGACCGGACCAGAGTGGACTGAGACCGGGACCAGAGCGGGACTCAGACCAGGACCAGAGTGGGACCAGAGTGGGACCAGAGTGGGACCAGAGTGGGACCAGAGTGGGACCAGAGTGGACCGGGACTGAGACCGGGACTAGAGCGGGACTGAGACCGGGACCAGACCAGGACCAGAGTGGGACCAGAGCGGGACTGAGACCGGGACCAGAACGGACTCCAAGCTTTGACTCTGAGCCTCCGCGGGGTTCGGGTCCTGCTCTGGTTCCCGTCTGGTCCCAGACCTGGATCAGTCCTGGTTCAGTCCGGCATCACAGTCACAGAGTCACGTAAACGAGAAACGGTCATTATCTTTTTTTCATTTTGGTTTTGGAGACAAATAATGAAGAAAACTGTTGTTTTTTTGTTTTCTTATTTTTGGTTTTATATTGAAAAACGAATGAACTAACGACTGATTGAATTAACACACAATGAGTTTTGTGCCCCAAAAACAGGTCATGTAGGCTTAGACAAAAACAAGAGTAAAACTAAAGGACACATAAAAAACTAAAACACAAGTTCCCCAAAATAAAACCACATAAACCCACGAACAGAATCCAGTGACCAAATAAAATAAAGCACAAAACAGAACTAAACTACAGAACTACACAAACACAAACACAAAATGACAGACTGACCACCAAGACCAGAGCCCCAAACAGGTGCTGCAGTCTGCTTAAATAAGGGGGAGGAGTCTGGAGGTGAGACGGGATTGGCAGGTGTAGAAGTGCTCCACCAATCACAGAGCAGGACTCACACAGCAGGATCCATGGAGACAGGAGAGGAATTAAAACACAAAACAACTGAAAGAACTGCAGGTCTGGGGTCTATAACACGCCTCCAGCATCAGCTCAGTTCTAAAGTCCTACTGTGAGAGAGCCTGAAAAAAAGTATTGCAGTAGTTACTTTCTCTGGTAACTCATTGCTTTACAGTGGAGTTACTTTTGGGGAGAAGTAACTAGGCCCGGTTAAGCAGAAGTAAACATCAAGGCCAAAAATTCAAGTGAATTCATCTGATATAAAAATGTATTGAACAGATACATATGTACTCTAGTTTATCAAACTGTTGACCTTTTTTCTGTACCATTTTTGGTTCTAAAGTTCCATCTGTTTTAAACAGACCATGTATGAAACATGGAACAAAAATTATTTCCCAAATTTCAAAGACCTGCAAAATCATGTAAATAAATGTTTTGTCATCATATCTTGTGTTATTCCATCTTTGAACTGTTGATGAAGGGACAGGATAAAAAAAAAAAAAAATGTATTTAAAATGATAAAAATGTTCTTGGAAGGACTGACATATTTTATAGAAATAGTTTCTTTCATTTTGAAGTAATATTAAAGTTTTCAGAAGAAAAAAGTGACAAATGATGTAAAATCCTGCACCTTCTACTTGTTTGTACAATTTTTCCCTCCGTTACTTTTCCCTCCGTTACCATGAACCTTTCTTAATAAAAAATCTCATGAGTCAAAAAGTAAGAGGTTTTTCAACCTAATCTTGTACCATATGGTAGAAAACTATATGAAGCAAATATTCAAACCAGTTTGTTAAGGATATGGAAGTGAGAACCAAGAGTTATCACTGTTTGGATTTATTGCCCAAAAAGTGCTGCATATTTCATTCCCTCCGTTACCAACATGAGTTTTTACATTTTTTGTCTTGAACTTGAAAGAATCTCACAGGTTTAACTTGACCCTGTTGGAGTGTAACTCTTTCCTACATTCTGATACTTTACTTATTTCAATAGTTCCTCTAGTTTCTGAATAAGAGACATTTGAATGTCAAAAATCTGACCCTGTTTCCCTCCGTTACCACTTGACCCAAACTAGTAACTTTAACTAATTACTTTTTTAGAGTAACGAGAAAATGCTGAAATTTCAGCATCAGCAGGTGCCAGGGTTTAGGGAGAAACGTTCAGATCAGAGAAACATTTTAGGTTTAAACACTTTGGATTTCGGTTTTGAACCAAAACCCAAACGAGAGAATCACATGACGCTTCTGCTTCTGATCAGAGAAACATCTGGAACCAAAACAAACTTAAAACAGAAATAATTGTCCATCAGGTCAAGTTTTTTGTAATTTGAGAATAAATCAGTATCTCTCTCTCTTCTCCTTCTCTCTTTCTCTCCGCAGCTGTGCATTCCCGACGGTCTGTCGTTCCACACTCGTCCTCTCCCTCCGCGCTTCCACTCGTTCCTCATCACTCGTGAGGACTTCAGTCGGACGTACGGCTTCGTCCTCACCTTCTACGAACGGGTGAGCGTCGCCGTGGAGACGCTGCTCCACCTCCGACACCCGACCCGCAAAGACCAGGACCAGGATCAGGACCAGGACCACAGCGGAGACCGGACCAAAGACCGGACCAAAGACCAGACCAAAGACCAGACCAAAGACCAGACCAAAGACCAGACCAAAGACCAGACCAAAGACCAGACCAAAGACCAGACCAGAAACTCTCCCTCCAGCCCGTCCTCGTCCTCGTCCATGGACTCCCTGTCGAGCGGGGGCGGTGGCGCAGACCCGTGCCCGTCCGAAGGCGTCGTCGAGCAGCCGGAGCGGTTGGAGCGGGCGGAGCGGTTGGAGTGGTCAGAGCGGGCGGAGCGGGCGGAGCGGTTGGGTCAGAGCGGTCAGAGTGGTCAGAGCGGGCGGAGCAGCCGGAGCGGTTGGAGTGGTCAGAGCGGGCGGAGCGGTTGGAGTGGTCAGAGCGGTCAGAGCGGTCGTGCGGCGCCCTGTTCGTGCCCAAAGCTCTGTGCATCATCGCGCCGTTGCCTTTTATGGGCGCGTGCCGCAGCTTCCTGTGGCAGCTGCACCGCGCTGTGATGTCCAGAGACTCCGCCCCCTCTGCCCCTGGAGAGCTACGTGTACAACCTGCTCTACGAGGTGAGAAAGTACTACAGATACTACTACTACTAATACTACTGCTACTACTACTACTGCTGCTGCTACTATAACTACTTATAATAACTAGTCCTTACTTAGCCTTAATAAATCATGAACAAAGACTTAATTAATAATGAACAAAGATTTAATTAATAATGATTCATGCTTAGTAAATGCTTAATAAAGCCTAATTAGTCTTCACTTTAGAAAATCTCTCAAAAAGACTTAACAGATAACAGCTGCCTGAATGATCATTGTATTGCATTAATAGTAAATCATTCTCTCATAGTTTATTAATGATTAATAAATGCTCAAATGGTTAGTTCATGAGTAATTAAGTATGAAATAATCATGAGTAACTATTTACAGCACAGGCAAATTAAGTGCAAGTGCTAATTAAGTAGTTACTAAGTGTGAATCATTATTAATTAAGTCTTTGTTCGTTATTAATTAAGTCTTTGTTCATGCTTTATTAAGGCTAAATAAGGTGTAGTTATTATAAAGTGTTACCCTACTGCTACTACTACTACTACAACCTGCTCTACGAGGTGAGAAAGTACTACAGATACTACTACTACTACTACTAGTACTACTACTACTACTACAACTACTACAACTGCTACCTGCTCTATGAGGTGAGAAAGTTCTACAGATACTACTACTACTACTACTACAGCTACTACTACTACTATTACTACTACCACTACTACAGATACTACTCCAGATACTATGATAGTACGCTGAGGTCGCAGGTTTAACCCTGGGTGTGGGTCAGGTGGATGATTTTCACTCTGTTGTTGGAGTTAAATCCTCGTGTGATTCCGGTGTCGTCCTGTAGGTGCCGCTGCCCGCCCCGGGACGCTCTCTGAGGTTCCAGGGCGTGTACGAGCCAATCGTGTGCCAGCGCCCGGGGCCCGCCGAGCTCCCATTGGCTGATTTCCCCCTGAGCGACGTCATCGCTCTGCTGGGATTGGACAACCTGGTCCAGGTGTTCACCTGCACGCTGCTGGAGATGCAGGTGCTGCTCTACTCCCACGGTGAGAGGAACATGTGGAGATCTGATCTTTTAAAGATGCACTGTGGAACTTTTCTAGAGGGTCCAACACCTGTTCTGTCTCCATGGAGATGTTCTCAAGTCGGTTTAGATCAATATTGTGATTTACAGTGTCACAGTTAGAACAGAACGATCCTCAGAGGTCAGAGGTCAGAGGTCAGACACACAGGGACCATCAGGCTGGTGTTAAGTGTCAATCACATCATTCATAATATTTATACACACACACACACACACACAGACTATATATACACACACAAACACTGTACACACACTATACACACACACACACACACAGACTGTATATATACACACACAAACACTGTACACACACTATACACACACACACACACAGACTGTATATATACACACACAAACACTGTACACACACACACTATACACACATACACATACACATACACACAATGTACACACACACACTATACACACACATACACACAGACTGTATATATACACACACAAACACTGTACACACACACACTATACACACATACACATACACATACACACACAATGTACACACACACACACACTGTATATATACACACACACACAGACTGTATATATACACACACAAACACTGTACACACACACACTATACACACATACACATACACACAATGTACACACACACACTATACACACACATACACACAGACTGTATATATACACACACAAACACTGTACACACACACACTATACACACATACACATACACACAATGTACACACACACACTATACACACACATACACACAGACTGTATATATACACACACACACTATACACACACACAATGTACACACACACACTATACACACACATACACACACTGTATATATACACACACACATAACACACACACACACACACACACTATACACACACATACACACAGACTGTATATATACACACACACACTATACACACACACACACACAATGTACACACACACACTATACACACATACACATACACACAATGTACACACACACACTATACACACACATACACACAGACTGTATATATACACACACAAACACTGTACACACACACATATACACACACACATACACTGTACACACACACATACACACACACACACACATGTACACACACAGACTGTGGGGGCAGATTATTAAAGTATTTCAGTTTAATCCAAATGTGTTTGTGAAACAGCAGCGATGTCAGAAATGATAAAAATGTTGATAAATCCAGAGAGATTAAGGTCAGTGAACGTGAAGAGAAGAAGAAGTCGATCAGAGACGGATGAGCCCAAACGAGAGATGAGACGAGATGGACGCTGCTGCTGTGGTCGCGGTCGCGGTCGTGTCGTTCTGTTCTGTTCTGTTCAGTCTGGAGCTCAGTTTGACAGTTTGAATGTGTCAAGAAGAAAACATGAGGAAATAATAAAGAGAGAGAGAAGGAGGAAGGAGATAGAGAGAGAGGAAAGGAGGAGTGGAGTGAGAGAGAAGAGCGAGAGAAGCAGGAGAGACAGAGATGGAGAAGAGAGAGAGAGAGAGGGAGGAGAGACAAAAGCAGGAGAGAGGAGGAGAGAGAGACAGAGCGTAGTGAGGGAGAGAGAAACGGGAACGAGCCGATTCTGGTTTCAGGTTCAGGTTTTTCCTCAGACGCGTCAGAACTCGTCCTGAATCTGAAACACAAACAACAACACCTTCAGTAGAAGAGAGAGAGAGAGAGAGAGAGAGAGAGAGAGACGAGAGAGAGAGAGAGAGAAACAGACAGAGAGAGAAACAGACAGAGAGAGAAACAGACAGAGAGAGAAACAGACAGAGAGAGAGAAACAGACAGAGAGAAACAGACAGAGAGAAACAGACAGAGAGAACAGACAGAGAGAGAAACAGACAGAGAGAAACAGACAGAAACAGACAGAGAGAAACAGACAGAGAGAGAGGGTGTGAGGCTCGTTCTTCTTCTGCCTGGAGAATCATCTGAAACCAAAACACATGATTATAACAGAAATAAAAGAGACGACATGTTTAATGTTTTTTTCCTCTCTCTGCCCCCTCACACGCCCCACTCTCTCTTTCTTTCTTTGTGTCTCTCTCTCTGTTTTCTCTCCCTCTTTTTCTCTCTCTGTTCTCTCTCTCAGACCCTCAGCGTGTGGTGAGCGCGTGCGAGTGTTTGTCGTCGTTGTTGTTTCCGTTCCAGTGGCAGCACGTTTACGTTCCTCTGCTCCCGTCGTCGCTCCGTCACTTCCTGGACGCTCCGGTGCCGTACCTCATGGGTCTGCAGGGCCGAGGCGACGGGGACCGCACCTGTCTGGACCTGCCGCAGGAGGTAAACGACTGTCATTGAAACAAAACACGTTCAATGAACATGTTCATTTTTCAGTGAACTTTGAACTGTACGCGACACATTTGTAAATCAAGAACTTGAACGTGAATTTGTTCAAATGATGTGAGATGAACGGCGTACGTCACTGTTGGGTTCAATTAAACATCGGGATTTGTTTTCACCTGATGAGTCAAGTGAGAAGGGCACTCATCACCACAGCCACGCGCCAACGTGGAAGGCGGCTCCACAGGCGGCTGCAGCAGGTGCAGCACGTGCAGCTCTGACTCTGTGTTTGTCAGTGTAAAGACGATCAGACTTGACTGAAGCGTTCAGTCGCTTGTATCAGGTCCACAGTGAAACTAACAGAACACACTTGTATTTACCTTCTGTACAGACCGACCACGGCAAAAACAAGGATTTCAAAAGTTAATTTCAAAGCTCTAATAACATTGTTCTGGACCTGGGCTTTTTCACACGACACAGATCTGCCTCAGGAGCTCGATGTGCTGATGATAAACGCACAAACACAACAATAGATGTTCTCCCTACGCTCACGTAGAGCATCAAAAAACAGGATGGATCCTATTTTCTGAAATCCACGTGCGCGAGACGAGCTGCTCCAGTGGAGCCGCCCTCGTCACTTTCAGTGCATTTCTAGTTACGCGTCCAAAAGTTGCAGTGACGTCCCTCTGACACAGAAAGAACACAGATAATCATGTCCTTTAGTCCCACAGAAGCTGATGCATCAGTGCAGTTTATGTAAATGAGCCATGTGGTTTTTAGTTTTTGCTTCTGTGAGACAAAAGTGTCAAAGCTGCAACATTAAACACATGATAAAGTCAAACAGGCTGATGTGGCTCTAGAGTTTATGTTTATATGTTGTAAAGTTGTTGTAAACAGGAAGTCAGTTTGAAAAATAAGTTCAGCCTTTTATTTACAAATCTCACCTAAAAATAAAATGAACTGAACTTTGAACTAGTTCATGAAAAGTGTGAACTTGCACAACACTGGTTCTGCATGTATGTCTATGGTAGAATGTGAGGTCTGCCTGAAAATCCTGCTGAAACAAACCATAAAATACCAGATAACAGCCTGGGCGTTCATTTGTTTCAATCACTTAATCGTCTGCTCCAAATTGCTGCCTGGTCTCAAATAAATGCCTGGTCTGTTAATACATCTCTCCCTCGCTTCTCCTCTCCCCCTCTCCCTTCCGTCTGTCCCTCCCCTCTCCCTCCGTCTCTCCCTCCCCCCTCTCCCTCCGTCTTCTCCCTCCGTCTCTCTCCCTCTCCCCCTCTCCCTCCGTGTCTCCCTCCGTCCTCTCCCTCCGTCTCTCCCTCCGTCTCTTCCTCCTCTTCTCCCTCCGTGTCTCCCTCCGTCTCTCCCTCCGTCTCTCCCTCCGTCTCTCCCTCCGTCTCTTCCAGGCGAACTTGTGCTTCGTGGACTTGGATCGTCGTTCCGTGGATCTTCCGGAGGATTTTCCTCAGTTTCCTCTGAAGTCGGATCTGATCCAGGATCTGTTGGACGTCCTGCAGAGCTCCGCCTCCTCCGGCCCGGAGTCCAGCTCGTGTCCCGGGTCGCCGCGTCCGGCCAGCTCGCCCTGCACCCCCGCCGCCCCCCGCAGGAACAGCCTGGAGGCGCTCGACCGACGCAACGGCAACCTGCCCCCCGACCGCCCCCAACCCCGCCGCCAACGCCGCCGTGCTGGAGCTGCTGCAGAACAACGAGACGCTGGAGCGGCTGGAGGCTCTGACCCGACGCACGGGGGTCAGCGTCGCCAGGGTGGACGCGCTCAGGGCGGGGGTCAAAGGTCAAAGCACCGAGGTAAGAAATAAGAAGATGTGGCAAATGTAGAAAATGTAAATATGGGACGGTCTGGACATGAAGACGGTTGGTGTAAGAGCAGAGGAGGAGCTCAGAGGAGAATCCTTCTTCTTCATGTCCCTTGTGAATGTTGGATTTTCATGACTTCAAATTGGCAGCAAAAAATGTGTTAAATTGATTAAAAGAATTTGAATTTTTTTTTTTTTTTATTTAAGATTTGTTTGTATCTCTGGGTTTTCTTATGGTCTCATGAAGTATGAATAAGTCTTTAGAGACAGAGTGAGGAGCTCAGTCACACGGGAGGAGCTCGGAGTAGAGCCGCTGCTCCTCCACGTGGAGAGGAGAGGGCATCTGAGGGGAGGACGTCTGTTCTGATGTTCATGTCCCACGGGGAGGAGGCCCCGGGGAAGACCCAGGACACACTGGAGGGACTATGTCTCTGGACTGGACTGGGAACACCTCAGGTCCCACTGGAGGAGCTGGAGGAAGTGTCTGGGGTGAGGGAAGTCTGGGAGTCCCTGTTTAGACTGATGCTCCTGAGACCCGACCCCGGAGAAGAGGAAGAACATAAATGGATTTGTTTGAAAGAAAATACATTTTTATTATTCCTACTATTGAAACAATAAACTAAAGCTGCACTGTGTAACTTTTCAGGTGGGGGTCACCTGCTTGTTTCCATGGAGATGTCACTGCTCTGTCTGGAATGTCCCACAGTGTGACATTAAACAGCTCGACTTTACATTTAATCATTTACAGGTGGTTTTATTTCTCAAAAATCCCTGAGAAAACCAGACGTTCTGACTGTGAGCGCCTCTCCACAGATCTGACCTGTAACTGCGTCTGGTTTGGTCTCCATGTGAAGATAGAAAGATTTAATGCCATACTGTGGAACATTCCAGACAAAACAATGGACCCTCAGCCAGAAAAGTTACACACAGCATCTGGACTGTTTTTTTGTAGTTTTTATGTTGAACATTTTAGTGGAAAAGGAGGAAAAAATCAAACATCGACTTTTGTTTTCAAATCTAAAATGTTCCTCCGTCCCAAACCTCAGAGTGTTTTTTTGTGTGGCGCAGAGGGAGGGGCGGCGTCCGAGCTCGCGCCTGGAGGAGGAGAAGAGGGCGGCCGTCCTGAACGCTCAGCTCAGGGAAGTCTTCGCCGATCACTTCACGTCCATGTTCTGCGACTACGAGACGTTCGTGGTCCAGAGCGGCTCCGACCTCCACACGTGGCTCACGGCGCGAGAAAACATGCACAACTTTGACAAGGTGACGACGCCGAGACAGTTTACTCACACACAGGCAAATGACTCGTACATAGGAGCTCAAACGTCACAGATTTTATCATAACAAAGAAAAACTGTGATTAAAAAATTCTAAAAAAGCAGAAAAAAAGCAAAAGCCACGGACAAAACTAAAGCTGCGTTCAGACGGTGATGTTGAGGCGTCTGATTAACACACAACACACACACTCTATGTGGAGCGTCCAGGACGTCCTGCGAGAATCTGACGCTGACGCGGCGAGTCTTGAGCTTTCAGACGAGGACCCGACCGATATGGATTTTGTTGCGGCTGATTTGATATCGATAAAACTGCAGATATAATCGCCGATATATTTAGTGATGTAAAAATTCACTGTAAATCTTGAATTGTTTAAAAAACTTAGGTTTGGCTCTGGTGGATTTTAAATTGGGTTTATTTAGGAAACATTTATTGTTATTCTGCCTCTTTACATCATATTTACAGACAGTAGATCGACTAATGACATTTTTACATCACATTCTAGACACTAGTAAAAAAAAATTAACTACTGCGATTAGCCTTTAGCCGGGGGCATGCAAAATTGCACTTTTTTTTTTTTTTTTTTTTTTTACAGCGTATGAACGCGTATTGTGTATTACAGACGGGTAGTAATTACACACGGGTGGGTCAGGACTAAACCAGGTCTAAACCAGGACTAATCTTGGACTTAAGAGAGAAAACGCCGAGCAGTTTGTCCGCAAAACGCGATCGGGCGATTGATTGAGCCGGTCCTTTCTCCTGTGTCTCCTCTGAGTCCGTCCCCACAGTGAGTCCTGTTTCAGTTCTGGTTTAGTCCTGGTTTAGTCCTGTTTTAGTCCTAGTTCAGTCGTGGATTAGTCCTCCTCTTCAGTCCTGGAATCAGTCCTGGGTTAGTCCTGGTTTGGTCTTAGTTCAGTCCGTGGCGTAGGCAGCGCAAAAGTTTGAAATAATCTCAGATTAACGGGCAGGTGCGGTCCTGTACTGGCAGGTGCAGTGTTGTACTGGGGGTCTCCAGAAACGGCCCCGTGCAGGACTCTGCCCTGTAGGATCGATTACGGAATAAATGAATCTTCAGTTCGTTGCATAAATAAGGAGGAAAATAACAAAAGGACGACAGCAGCAATAAGTTTTAAGAAGCGTTTATGTCGTAAAAACACTGAAGTCTTTTTCTTGACGAGGAAAACGCGACGCTCACAGATCCACAGATGAACACTGAACACTCTGAAGTATTTGTCTCCTGCTGGTCCACGAGGCCAAGATACATGTCAGTCAATCTGAACTCCTCTCTCCTCTCTCTCCTCTCTCCTCCTCTCTCCTCTCTCCTCTCTCTCTCTCTCTCTCTCTCTCTCTCTCCTCTCCTCTCTCCTCTCTCCTCTCTCCTCTCTCCTCTCTCTCTCTCCTCTCTCTCCTCTCTCCTCTCTCTCTCTCTCCTCTCTCCTCTCTCCTCTCTCTCTCTCTCTCTCTCTCCTCTCTCCTCTCTCCTCTCTCCTCTCTCTCTCTCTCTCTCTCTCCTCTCTCTCCTCTCTCTCTCTCTCTCTCTCCTCTCTCTCTCTCTCTCTCTCTCTCTCTCTCTCTCTCTCTCTCTCCTCTCTCCTCTCTCTCTCTGTTCTCTGTTCTCTCTCTCCAGGCGTCCTTCCTGTCGGAGCAGCCTGAGTTCTTTCTTCCGTTTCTCTCTCGTTTCATCGAGACTCAGATGTTTGCGTCGTTCATCGATCAGAAGATCATGTCTCAGTGGGAGCAGAAGGAGGCGCTGCTGCGAGTCTTCGACCAGCGAGTCCACGAGAAGAAACGCCACCAGCTCCGAGCGCCCAACCTCACCTCCACCCACGGCTCCGCCCACAGCGCCCGCCGCACCACCCTCTGCGACGCCGGTGAGTGTCTGCACCCACCTCCACCCACAACCACACCCACCTCCAACCACAACCTCACCTCCAACCACAACCACACCCACCTCCAACCACAACTCACCTCCTCAACCCACCTCACCTCCACACCACACCTCACCTCACAACCACACACCTCACCACCAACCACACCACCTCCAACCACAACCACACCCACCTCAACCACAACCACACCTCCACCTCCAACCACAACCTCACCTCACAACACACACAACCCACCTCCAACCACAACCTCACCTCCAACCTCACAACCAACACAACCTCACCTCCAACCACAACCTCCACACCTCCACCCACAACCCTCACCTCCACAACCTCACCTCCACAACCACAACCACACCCACCTCCTCACCCACAACCCACAACCCACCTCCAACTCCAACCACACCCACCTCCAACCACAACCACACCCACCTCCAACCACAAACCACAACCCACCTCACAACCACAACCTCACCTCCACAACCTCACCTCCAACCACAACCTCACCTCCCAACCACAACCTCACCTCCAACCACAACCAACCACAACCTCACCTCCAACCCACACCACAAACCACACCCCACCTCCACCCACAACCACACCTCACCTCCAACCACAACCTCACCTCCAAACCACAACCACACCCACCTCCACCACACACACTCACCTCACCTCACAACCACCAACCTCACCTCCAACCACAACCACACCCCTCCACCTCCACAAACCCACAACCTCACCTCACCCAACCACAACCACCACCCACAACCTCCAACCACAACCTCACCTCCAACCCAACAACCTCACCTCCACAAACTCACCTCCACCCACAACCTCAACTCCAACCCACACAACCTCACCTCAACCCAACCACAACCTCACCTCCACCCACAACCTCACCTCCAACCACAACCTCACCTCCAACCACAACCTCACCTCCACAACCTCACCTCCAACCACAACCTCACCTCCACAACCTCACCTCCACCCACAACCTCACCTCAACCACAACCTCACCTCCAACCCACAACCTCACCTCCAACCACAACCTCACCTCAACCCACAACCTCACCTCCACCCACACCTCACCCCACACCACCTCCACAACCTCACCTCCAACCACACAACCTCAAACCTCCAACCACCACAACCTCACCTTCCAACCCAACCACAACCTCACCTCACCCACAACCTCACCTCCAAACCCACAACCTCACCTCCAACCCAACCACAACCTCACTCCAACCACAACCTCACCTCCACCCACAACTCACCTCCACCTCCACAAACCTCACCTCCACAACCACAACCTCACCTCCACCACAACCTCACCTCCAACCACAACCTCACCTCCAACCACAAACCCACAACCTCACCTCCACCACAAACCTCCAACCACAACCTCACCTCCAACCACAACCTCACAACCTCACCTCCAACCACAACCTCACACCTCCACCCACAACCTCACCTCACAACCACAACCTCACCTCCAACCCACAAACCTCACCTCCAACCACAAACCTCACCTCCAACCACAACCTCACCTCCAACCAACAACCCACACCCACCTCAACCCACAACCTCACCTCCAACCACAACCTCACCTCCAACCACAACCACACCCACCTCCAACACAACCACACCCACCTCCAACCACAACCTCACCTCCAACCACAACCTCAACCTCCACCCACACAACCTCAACCTCACCTCCACCCACAACCTCACCTCCAACCACAACCTCACCTCCACCACAACCTCACCTCCAACCACAACCTCACCTCCACCCACAACCTCACCTCCAACCACAACCTCACCTCCACCCACAACCTCACCTCCACCCACAACCTCACCTCCAACCACACCCAACCCACAACCACCAACCTCACCTCCAACCACAACCTCACCTCCAACCACAACCTCACCTCCAACCACAACCTCACCTCCACCCACAACCTCACCTCCCTCCACAACCAGCTCCACCCATCTCCACCCACCTCCACCCACAATCAACCATCTCCAGATTCTCCACCCACACCCAACAGCGGCGCCCGTAGAATCTTCCAGAACCCGGTGGTTAAAGTTTGTGGGTGTGGTCGTGTCTCCTGCAGCTCGGGCGGTGGAGCAGAGGTTCCAGAACATCGACCACACGGCCGTTCTCCCTCATCTCCTCAACATGAAGATCGGAGAAGGACGATTCGAGCCGGGACACTTCCCCGACCTGAAGAGAGACGCCCTCAACAGCGCCCCCAACAGGTGAGACCCAGAACCAGGACTAACCAGGAGAGCCAACAGAGACCAGAACCAGGACAACCAGGACTGAGACCAACAGCGAAGACCAACAGGACTGAGACCAGACTACAGACTGAACCAGGACTGAACCAGGACTGAGACCAACAGCGCCCCCAACAGGTGAGACCCAGAACCAGGACTAAACCAGGACTGAGACCAACAGCGCCCCCAACAGGTGAGACCCAGAACCAGGACTAAACCAGGACTGAGACCAACAGCGCCCCCAACAGGTGAGACCCAGAACCAGGACTAAACCAGGACTGAGACCAACAGCGCCCCAACAGGTGAGACCCAGAACCAGGACTAAATCAGGACTAAACCAGGACTGAACCAGGACTAAACCAGGACTAAACCAGGACTGAACCAGGACTGAACCAGGACCGAACCAGGACTGAGACCAACAGCGCCCCCAACAGGTGAGACCCAGAACCAGGACTGAACCAGGACTAAACCAGGACTAAACCAGGACTAAACCAGGACTGAGACCAGGACTGAGACCAGGACTGAGACCAGGACTGAACCAGGACTGAACCAGGTCTAAACCAGGATCTAAACCAGGACCGAACCAGGACTAAACCAGGACCGAACCAGGATTAAACCAGGACTGAACCTCAACACTGGCCCCAAGAAAGAAAAGATGAAAAGAGAAAAAGAGAGAAAGAGGAGTTGTTAAACGTTGGTCTCTCACGTTGTGTGTGTTGTGTGTTTCATGTTGTGTGTTTCATGTTGTGTGTTTCATGTTGTGTGTTGTGTGTTTCATGTTGTGTGTTTCATGTTGTGTGTTTCATGTTGTGTGTTGTGTGTTTCATGTTGTGTGTTTCATGTTGTGTGTTCATGTGTTGTGTGTTTCATGTTGTGTGTTGTGTGTTTCATGTTGTGTGTTGTGTGTTTCATGTTGTGTGTTGTGTGTTTCATGTTGTGTGTTTCATGTTGTGTGTTTCATGTTGTGTGTTTCATGTTGTGTGTGTTGTGTGTTTCATGTTGTGTGTTGTGTGTTTCATGTTGTGTGTTTCATGTTGTGTGTTTCATGTTGTGTGTTTCATGTTGTGTGTTGTGTGTTTCATGTTGTGTGTTTCATGTTGTGTGTTGTGTGTTTCATGTTGTGTGTTTCATGTTGTGTGTGTGTTTCATGTTGTGTGTTGTGTGTTTCATGTTGTGTGTTTCATGTGTGTGTTCTGTGTTTCATGTTGTGTGTTTCATGTTGTGTGTTTTCATTGTGTGTTTCATGTGTGTGTGTGTGTTCATGTGTGTTCATGTTGTGTGTGTGTGTGTGTTTCATGTTGTGTGTTTCATGTTGTGTGTTGTGTGTTTTACAGATGGAGTCACAGAGGTCCAGCGCCCCCTGCTGCTCCTCACAGACAAACACAGACCCCCGGGAAAACAGAACAACGACTGGACAACGAGCAGAAGGAGGTACGAGGCCCCGCCCCCTCACACACACACACACACACACACACACACACACACACACCTCTCTCTCTCCGCTCTGCTTTTGCTGCTCTTTCCATCTTTTTTCTTTCTATCCTTTTTTGTTTCATGCTCTTAATTTCTTCTCTTTTTCCTGTCTTGTCTGCATCTTCTGCTCTGTTCCACCTCTTTTTTCCTTCTTCTCTCCTCTGTTCCTTCTCTCTCCCTTTTCTCTCACTTCTCCTCTCCCTCCTACTGTTTTTCCTCCTCTCTCTCTCTTCGTCAACCTTCATTCTTTCTTTCTCTCTCCTCCACCTTCTCTCCTTCTCCTCTTCTCTTCTTCTTCTACTCCTCTTCTCCTCATCCTTCTCCTCCTCCACCTCCTCCTCCTCTCTCTCCTACTCTGTCTTTCATCATCTCTCTTCTCCCTTCTTTCTTTCTCTTTCCTCCTCATCTCTTTCTCCCTCCTTCTTTCTTTTTACTCCTCCCCTTCTTTTCCTTCTCCTTCTCTTCTTCTCTTCTCCTCCTCCTCCTTCTGCTCTTTCTCCTCCTCTCCTCTCTCCTCGTCTTCTCCTCTTCTTTTCTTCTCTTCCTCCTTATCCCCTTCTCTTTCTTTTCCTCTCCTTCCTCTCCTCTTTCTTCTTCTTCTCCACCTTCTCTTCCTTCTCCTCCTCTCTTCCTCTGTCTCTTTTCCTCTCCTCCTCTTCTTTTCCTCTTCTCCTCCTCCTCTTCTCTTCTTTTTCTCTCCTCCTCCTCCTCTTCCTCTTCTTCTTCTTCTTCTGTCAGTCTTTCTTTTCCGTAGAGGAGGAGCGTGCGTCTCTTTTAAACTCGTTGGCGTTTTGGGATTGGGATCACGGCGTTCCCCGGACAAGACCCCGGAAGTCTGTGTCCACCTCCTGCCTGGTACGTGACGCCTCCCTCCCCCTGCCCCAGATGCCCTCCCGTCCTCCTCCCCCTGCCCCAGATGCCCTCCCGTCCTCCTCCTCCCTGCCCCAGATGCCCTCCCGTCCTCCTCCTCGTGCCCCAGATGCCCTCCCGTCCTCCTCCTCGTGCCCCAAATGCCCTCCTGTCCTCCTCCTCCTGCCCCACCCTCGTCACCTTCATCTTCTGACACAGTTAATGCAGCACTGCGGGACTTTTCTGGCGCACGATTCGCCACCTGCATGATTGTATTTTCTCTGCCAACTAAAAATGAGTTTAGTCGTTGAGACTTTTATCTGTTTGACATTGACACTTTTGTCCTGAGGAGTCTTCCTCTCCTCAATCTGCCCTGACACAGAATCTGCTGATCCTCCCTGACCACAACCAAAAAACCCTGGTCAGAATTTAAGATCTAAACATTTAAATCTATCAGAAAATGACTTATAAGTAGAGAAATGATCTGTCCACGCAGCAAGAGACTTTTACTTGTCTTTTACTTGTCTAGAAGTCGTTTATTTTAAGAGAACTTGTCGAGAATGAAGAATCTGAGAACTGATGAGTCGATAATAAAACTGAAAACAGGATGAAGAACCTGATAGAAGTTTGAAAATCTTGGTCAGATCAGAGAAATGTGCAGTGAGCTCCTCCATGAAACTGAGACCTTTGAATTTCCTCAATAAAGAAATATGATGATGATGATGATAACTTTTCTAAAATCAAAATTCAAGATTCAGAACCATTTCCTGCACATCAAATTCACCCGTGAAGATGCCAAGAACAACACATTGACCTTCTTAGATTGTGCAGTAACGACAGGAGAAGACCGATGACTCCAGGTTGAGGTCTTCAGGAAGCACCACACACACGGACCAGTACCTGCTTTTTGATTCTCACCAACCACTGAACACAAACTTGGAGTTATTCAGACACGACAACACAGGGCTCAAGTGGTGCCTCAAAGCACAGAGGGAAAGGAGAAAGAAGAACAACAAGTGCAGAAAGTCCTCTCTGTTTGTGGAGATCCAACATGGGCCTTCAACAAAACCAAGAGAACTAAAAAACAGGACAACAGAGAATCAGAACCCAGTAGAAATGGGGGAACTATTCCGTACATGGCTGATGTTTCTGAAAAACTACAGAGGATTTTCAGACAACATGAGATCCCGGTCTATTTCAAACCTACGAACACTCTAAAGGGCCGTTCACACCAAGACGTCAAAGCGTCCAGTTTCAATGTAAAGTCGATGTGGACGCGCGACTAGAGCTTCCTGCGTTTTTGCGTTGCGTTTTCGGCGTCAGCGCGGCGCGAATCTGGCTCAGCGTTTTTGGCGTCAGCGATCTAGACGCGCGTCCAAGGCGTCAGTGTCAAGAAGTTGAAAATGCTGAACTTTTCGCGTCAGACGCGCCGCGTCAACCAATCAGAGACGAGTATCCAGAGACGCAGCAACGATATTATCAGTAAGCAAAACCCGAGAACCAGAGCGAGAACCACAAACATGAGCGGAGATTAAATATATACACCACAATCACCGAGCCGATCACGAGGACTACACCAGGACCGGACCAGGATTAAACCAGGATTAAACAAGGACTAGACCGGGACTAAACAAGGACTAGACTGGGAGTAGACCGAGATTAGACCGAGACTAGACCGGGACCAAACCAGGACTAAGACGGAGGACTAGACCAGACTAGACTTAGACCAGGACTAGACCGTGATTAGACCAGGACTAGACCGTGATTAGACCGGGACTAGACCGTGATTAGACCAGGACTAGACCGGTATTAGACCAGGACTAGACTGGGACTGATCCAGTGTCATTAGTGGAGTATAAATATAAACACGCTCCAGTCATCGACCCGATCTCCTCCGCTGATGTTTTATGTCATAAAAACACTCTCTCAGTCTGGTCTGACATTGTTTCGGGAAAAGTCCAGGACCGGGCTCTTGTTTCCAGGACAACGGACGAGCGTCAAGTATTTTTGTCCCGTTCGTCCACGGCGTCAAACACACGAGCGTCGGGGGCGTCTAAACTCAAATGCAAAGGCTCCAAATAGAGACGTCAAGGTGTTTTTTGACGCTTTGGTGTGAACGAACCTTAAGACAGAAATTGGTGCAACCGAAAGAACAAAACACCAAGCCACAAACAAAGCAACGTGGTCTACTCCATTCAGTGCAGTGAAGACTGAAGTGAACGCTACACTGGAGAAACTAAACAGACACTTCACAAGAGGATGAACCAACACTGACGAGGGAGCAACACAGGACCTCAGTCTGCTGTGCATCTCCACTTAAAAGCCATGGGCCACTCGTTTGAGGACAGCGAGGTACAGATTTTAGCCAGAGAAAAGAAATGGTTTGAGAGGGGAGTGAAAGAAGACATTTTTGTTAAGAAAGAGAATCCTTCTTTAATCAGAAATGGACTCAGACACCATCTATCTCCTATTTACACGTCCATCCTCAAACCTAAATCAAAACAAACAAGAGAACAACAGGTGTATCCAGGTCAGGTCCAGAGGTGTGGAAGCTCCATTATGGACAAGAATTGTTCTGTTAATTAGACCCCACACCCTGTACAGGTCAACAGGCCAAACTAACAAACACAAACTGTAAACAAGTGTGTGTTAGTTTCAGAGTAGTTTCAGTGTAGTTAGCTCCTCCCTGCAGACAGTTAAAGGAAGTGTCACCAGCGTCTGACCAGAACTGAAGAAGCAGCTTGGATGAAGTAAGAAACGTCTTCAACCAAACTCACTTTTGTCCAGTCGACAAACAGAATTTCTCCTCGACCTCGAATAAGGAAACTAACAATCTGTTGACTCTCTTCCTCTCCCCTCCTCTTCCTCCTCTCTCTCGTCTCTCAGCTGCAGGAGTCTCGTGCTCTGGGGAAGTCTTCTCTCCGTCAGCCCAAACTCTCCGACGTGTCTCCGGCCGTGATCGCTCAGACCAACTGGAAGTTTGTGGAGGGTCTCCTCAAAGAGTGTCGCCTCAAGGTACAGAGGAGTCCACCGCATCATCTGCTCCTCTACTGCATCCTCTGACCGTCTGCTCCTCTGCTCTCCTCCTCCTCCTCTGACCCTCTGAACCTGTGCTCCATCTGCTTCATCTGCTCCTCCTCCTCCTCCTCTCCTCCTCCTCCTCCTCCTCCTCTCTCTGTCTGTAGACGAAGCGCCTCCTTGTGGCTAAGATGGGCGGTGAGGCGGTGGAGTTGGGTCATGGAGAAGCTCTGATCTCTGGTTTGGAGGAGAACACTCTGGTGGCGTCTCTGTGTGACCTCCTCGAACGAATCTGGAGCCACGGGCTGCTCGTCAAACAGGTCAGACCCTGAACCGGGACCGGACCAGGACTGGACCAGGACTAAACCAGGACCAGACCAGGACTGTCTCTGTAGTTTAGATTTGTACAAATGTTCTGAAATGTGATTCTTGTTTTGTTTAGTCAGATCTTAGTCTTTTTGTCATTTCTTCTGGACGAGTTTAAACATCAATTTTCCTAAAATGTTGACCCCTGACAGGTGCACTGCCTGACAGGTGCACTCCTGACAGGTGCACTGCCTGACAGGTTGTTTTGTGAAATATCTTAAGAGGTTCGTGGGAAGTAGTCAAACCAGGCAATCACTATTTCACATCAATCAATGCCAGCACACAATGAAGCTAGAGTAAACGTGTCTGTCTATTCCCCGCTTAACATTGTTACAACAAGCTAGAATAAATATGCCTGTTTATTCCCCGCTCAATAATTGTTACAATGAAGCTAGAACAAATGTGTCCGTTTACTCCCCGCTTAACATTGCTACACACACAATGAGGCTAGAATAAATGTGTCCGTTTACTCCCCGCTCAACATTGCAATCATCACACACAATGAGGCTAGAATAAATATGTCCGTTTATTTCCCGCTCAACATTGTTACACAATCATATCAATCAATCAATGGGTTTAAAGCATCAATCATCACACAAACTGGCACATAAGAAAATCAAACTCACCGTTGACACTGGGCTGGAGAGCCAACAACCCCACGGCAGAGTGGCTTAAAACCCGGCTGGGCGTTCGTACGTAACCCGCAGCAGACTCTAAAGTGGGTGCTTTCCCTCCGCCTCTATATATTCTCTTCATGCACCTGTGCGTGCAGAGAGGGCCAGTCTCCACCGCGCACACATACATGGAGGCGCATTCCTGTCCCATGTCCAGTCTTCTGAGACTGGACATGGGACAGGGTGCCCTGTTTTTCGTAAACACAGTGTCCTTGGCACAATCCCCAACTAAAAGATAGCGAGTTGTATAAGCATAATATTGACTTCGTGCAGGCATGCAGGCCTAGTGAATTGGTCTCAGGACCATCTTATATGTTCCCACTACACAGGTGCACTCCTGACAGGTGCACTCCTGACAGGTGCACTCCTGACAGGTGCACTCCTGTCAGTGTTTCTCTCAGAAGTTCATGAGCTGGTTTGTGTGTGTTTGTGTTTGTGTTTTGTGTTTTTGTTCAGGGGAAGTCGTCTCTCTGGTCTCATCTGCTCCATTATCAGGCCCGAGAAGAACGACTGGAACAACAGGCTCAGAACACACAAGGTACACAGAGTACACAGTACACACAGTACACACAGAGTACACACAGAACACACAGTACACAGAGTACACAAGGTACACAGAGCACACAGACTACACACGGAGTACACGGAGTACACAGGGTACACAGAGTACACAGAGTACACAAGGTACACAGAGCACACAGACTACACAGAGTACACAGAGTACACAGGGTACACAGGTACACGGAGTACACAGAGTACACACAGTACACACAGAGTACACACAGTACACAGAGCACACAGACTACACAGAGTACACACAGTACACACAGAGTACACAGGGTACACTGTGTTTATGTTTGTGTGTGTGTGTTATATGTGTGTGTGTGTTATGTGTGTGTTTACGTGTGTGTGTGTTTACTGTGTGTGTGTGTTTACGTGTGTGTTTACGTGTGTGTGTTTATGTGTGTTTATATGTGTGTTTACGTGTGTGTGTGTGTACAGGTGATGAGGAGAGGAGGAGGAGGAGGTCTGACTGCAGTCTTCAGAATTCTGCTCGTGTTTCTCTTCTTCAGGACATGAGGTGAACACAAACAGTTCAGGACATAAGTTCACTGTAGGCGACAGAATCGAGCTGGTGCAGGTTCCTGCACCTGATGTTGAACCGACTCATGTTCACACTGGAAATCAGAGCGTTCAGGAACCGAGTAAAACTTGTTTTTTCTAAGTGAACGGTGACGACACAGAAGACGTCAGCAGGTTCATCTGAGTCACACACAGGAAAATAAACAAAGAACAAATGAAACTATCATGTATGAAATTTTTTTTTTTTAAATCTACAGAAACTCTTCTGTACCGTTGGTTTTACATGTGTCCGTGTTCTAATAACATTACATCTTTGTATTGTGCGTCGCTGTCGTCGTCTCCACAGCAGATCCATGTTGTGTCAGAGTTTGGTACATAAATAATAATGACTTGTATCAATACAAACTCTCACTGGTGTTGATCATTTGATCCATGATTTTTGTTTTCCTCCTGTGACGTCTGTTTTCATGTGGCCTTGTTTTTATTTGGGGGTAAATCCACTCCCTCTGTCGATGACGTGTCATGGGTTCATGTAAATGGTTTATATACGGCTCGTTCACCAGTGAGAACTTTGGTTCCAGAGGAACTGGTGCAGGAACCGACACCGACACAAACAAATCACAGAAAAATCTGTCAAATTCTCCTGTCGTGTCTTTAAAACCAGTGGGACAGGTTCTTCTCTGTGACCGGCCCCAAACTCTTTAACTCTGTCTCTTTTATTTATTTGACTTATTTAGTCCTACTTTTTGATCTTCCAGTGTAAGTCAACGGGAACTTCCAATTTGGAACAGATTCAGATGAGACTGTAGAACCTTTTTTAAGCTCTTTAAGCAGAGGTTGTTGGTGCAGACTCATTGTTGTTTGTTTGTTTGTCCTGCTCGTTCCTCCTCAGACATGTGCAGCTGATGTCCGAGATCAAGACCGACGTGGGCCGAGCTCGTGCCTGGATCCGTCTCTCTCTGGAGAAGAAGACGCTCTCACAACATCTCAGACAACTTCTGTCCAGAGCAGGACTGACCAAGTGAGTCTGAATCCACAGTTTGCTCTGTTTGCTCCAGAAGGATCAAGTGCGGCTGTGCGGTGTCTGTCTGACTCGGACTACATCGAGTGGCTGGCCAGACCAGGAACGGGACTGGCACCGG